TAAGTACAAGCTTAGGGCCATATACGCAGGGGATCGAAAATCAGAGGCAATTTGCTGTGAAATTGAAGAGTGGAGCACGAATTTTAGAGAGACTAGCAGATCTTGGCGAAATTCTTCAGCATAAAGAAGGAGAGTTCGAGAGATCTGAGGCATGTCCCCCTTTCCTCCGGATCAAACTTGGTTTTGATATCAAGAAGAGTCGTAATCTTGCTTGGTCGAGATGATCACTTTTGTGATTGTTTTCTTTATGAAGCAAGAGCATTGAATTTTAATTCTATCAACCGGATCTGATCCGCAGTGATCTACGGACTAACGCGTCCTCGGCACAGGCAAATATCACACACAAGCAGCGGGTGATAAACGTCATCTTCGTGTGTTTGAAAAGAGTTGTAATTTTTACTTTATTTTCATTGTAATGAGAGATCTTATAAAGAGATACACTCTCTTGAATCTGTAATTGATAAATAATTGTAATGGATTCAGCAATGAATAAACCAACTTTCGACGCAAACACAATCAGAGTGAATTTTTGGGGTTAGAGTAATTTTTGTCTTTTTTGGCCACGCCAAGACATGTGAGACTTAGAATTGTTACTTAGAAGGATTAAAGTGAAAAAAAATCTTCAAGTGGTTTAAAGGAATAAAAAAGTTTAGGGTGGTAATATGCAAAACCCCTCAAAATTTAGGACGAGCTTGAGGTAAAATGGCTAAGGATAGTTATATGCAAACCCCCAAAGTTAGTGGGGGTTTTTGAAATTAACGATTACGTTATGAAAAACTCCCCAGGATAAGCTAATATTAATCACACGAGAGCACAAAAAATATCAAGAACACACAAACACAAAGATATATGTGGTTCGGCTTGTAGCCTATGTCTACGGGTGAAGGAGGAGAAAACTTTACTAAATTGTGAGGAATACAAAGTGGAATATCTCAATCACTCAATCCTAAATAACACCCCAAAATTCTAATACAACTCTCAACTAAATAAAAGGAACAAAAGAGAAGAATATCAAATAGACTTCACAAAAGAACTATCTCTTCTTGATTGGTGCTCCAAATATTGATGAATCTAATTGGTTTGAAAGATTGTTCTTAGATAGCCTTGAAGATCCTAACTCCTTGCTATTTAAGGAATAAGAATTCTAATAGGAATAGAAGTCCACATGTTCTAAAACCCAATAAGAGTCCAAATAGAAATAAACCTCTAATATGATTGGTTGTGTAAAGTCTAATGTAAGTAGAACTCTTGATCAAAACAAACCAAGCTAAAAAAGGAACTCCCAAAGTAATATGGATTTGAGTATTTGAGGCAATTTATAACAAATCTCCACATTGACTCAAATACGTAGAAGATTCCTCCCTCTAAAATAGGCTAACTTACTCTACCTTCTCTAATAGCCCCCACAGGGCATCTAAGTGCGGCGCGTATCGATCAAGTCAAAGCCCGGCTTGAACTTGCTAACTGAAAGATGCCTCCTCAACAAATCGACTGAATTGTCCGCATGACGACCATAAATATTAGCGAAGTAGTTACCTGAAGTAGCTTCTGAATAGCAGAAGGGCACAAAATTGTCAACCGACAATGCATAAGCTACTGTATCTTCATGTCATCGCAGTGGTCGGATATTTCGTCTAAACTGATCTCTAGCAATAGTATATTCCCGCTCTTCTTGCAGCTTCTGAGGTACTTCATCTACTTGAATGGGATCTGGCTGCTAAATTCTCGTAGTCTTATCCTGTTGAAGAGCTAAATCACGAATTTCTAACTCCACCTTATGTCATGTAGTGCACGCCTTATCATCAACTGAAACCGATGATCGTTTCTGGTGGAACACAGCAGATTCATCAAAAGTAACATCACAACTAATAATAATCTTAGGAGACTTCGGATCAGGACACCACAACCTAAAACCCTTAACATCTGATGCATAACCTAGGAATACGCACTTATTCGCTTGCGGCTCAAGTTTCCCTTGATTAACATGCGCATATGCAGGGCAACAGAATATTCTAAAGTTAGAATAATCTGCGGGCTTACCGGACCAAACCTTCTCTTGAGCTTTACAACTAATAGTAGTAGATGGCGACCAATTCACTAAGTAATAAATCGTATTCACTGCTTCCGCCTAGTATTCATTGCCTAAACCTGCATTGAACATCATACAATAAGCTTTCTCTAATAGAGTTCTGTTCATACATTCTCCCACTCCATTCTTTTGCGACATGCAAGGGACTGTATGATGTCTAACTATCCCCTCCTTCTTGCAGAACTCATTAAATTCTCCTCCACAAAACTCAAGGTCATTATTAGTTCTAAGCCTCTTAATTAGCCTCCCAGTTTGCTTCTCAATGAAAGACTTTCACTGGTTGAAAGTCACAAACACCTCATATTTATGTCTCAAAAAGTAGATCCAAACCTTCCTGGAGTAGTCATCAATGAAAGTCAACAAATATCTGGAACCACCACCCCTCGAGACAACTTGAGAAGGTCCCCAAAGATCTAAATGGATATAATCTAAAGTACCTTTAGTCCGATGCATTGTCATACTGAAGCTGACTCTTTTCTGCTTCCCAAAGATGCAATGCTCGCAGAATCATAATTTTTCTGTACTTGTTCACATAAAAGACCCTTCTTACTCAACTCGGTCAATCCGCGCTCACTCATATGACCAAGTCTCATATGCCATAATCTGGTAGTATCAACTCCTGACATCGACGATACAACTATAGCCGAGCCGGTAACGGTAGAACCCTACAAAACATACAAGCTACCAATCTTTTTTTCCTTTCATGAGCACAAGAGAGCCTTTAGTAACCCTAAGAACTCCACATTCACCTGAAAAATTACACTCAATGCTATCAAGAGTGCCCAAAGAGATGAGATTCTTCCTTAAACTTAGAATATGCCTAACATCTGTCAAAGTCCTGATAACTCCATCATTCATCTTAATCCGAATTGTACCTTTCCCAACAGTCTTGCATGAGACATTATTCCCTATAAGAACAACTCCACCATTAATAGCTTCATAAGTGGTGAACTAGCCCTGATTAGGTCACATATGATAGGGACAACCCGAATTCAAAATCCAATCATTCATGCTCCTATTTATATTATCTGTAGCCAACAAAATTACATCTTTAGCAATATCAACTTCAGCAGAGCCCTCCTTTAATTTTTCTTCATACTCTTCTTGTTTATTTTTGTTCTTCAATCTGTAACAATCGATCTTGATGTGCCCTTTCTTCTTGTAATATTTGCAGGTCAGATTCTTGTGTTTCGACTTATACCTGTTACCTCCAAAACCTTTTTCTTCCAATCTTCCTCGAACAAACAAGCCATCAGCTTTATCACCACTTTTACTTATGGTTAACTGTTTGCTGATCTTCTCCTTATTCAATAAATTCTCTTTGACGTCCTTGAGACCAATAGAATCTTGATCATAAATCATAGTATCCCTGAAGTGCTTGTAGGAAGGTGTCAAAGAACACAATAATAATAGGGCTTGATCTTCATCATCGATCTTAACATTAATTTTACTCAAATCTGCGATCACAGAATTAAATTCACCAATATGAGATTTGATGGGTATTCCTTCCGACATCAGAAGTATGTACAAACGCTGCTTCAAGAGGAGGCGATTAGTGAGCGACTTCGTCAAATACAAATTATCTAATTTAGACCACAAATCAGTGGATGTTATCTCCATGAGAACTTCTTACAAAACATCATTTGTCAAACATAACTGGATCGGTGTGAGAGCTCTATCATCCAACTCGTTCCAATCTTCCTCTGTCATAGTAGCCGGTTTCTTCGACTTCCTGAACAAAGCCTTCTTCAATCCACTCTGTGTCAACACGGCGATCATCCTAACTTGCCAAAGGCTGAAACTGATATTGCCATTAAACTTCTTAATATCTTACTTCGTAGTAGTTGTCGTCATCTTCTCATCCGATTGATAGTTGAGGGCTTTGATACCAATTTGTTATGACAAATTCCCCAGAATAAGCTAATATCAATCACACGAGAGAACGAAAAAAATCAAGAACACATGAACACAAAGATATACATGATCCGGCTTGTAGCCTATGTTCACGGGTGAAGGAGGAGAAAACTTTACTAAATTGTGAGGAATACAAAGTGGAATCTCTCAATCACTCAATCATAAATAACACCCCAAAAGCCTAATACAACTCTCAACTAAATAAAAGGAACAAAAGAGAAGAATATCAAATAAGCTTCACAAAAAAACTCTCTCTTCTTGATTGGTGCTCTGAAGATTGATGAATCTAATTAGCTTGAAAGACTGTTCTTATATAGCCTTGAAGATTTCAGCTCCTTGCTATCTAAGGAATGAGAGTTCTAATAGGAATAGAAGTCCACATGTCCTAAAACCCAACAAGAGTCCAAGTAATAATAAACCTCTAATATGATTGGTTGTGCAAAGTCTAATGTAGAACTCTTGATCAAAACAGACCAAGTTAAAAAAGTAACTCCCAAAACAATATGGATTTGAGTATTTGAGGCAACCTATAACAGATTATATTTATGGGTTTCTTCATAGAAGTCATATTTAAAATATGGTCATTTTATAGAAAACGCCTCTGATTTTTAATTTATACATAAACCACATTTAAAGCACTTTTTATTGTAATCAACCATTAGACTCACTTTTTGGTTAAAATTTTTTGGGTAATTGATCTCACTTAACCTCCATTAAGGATCACTCTCTAATATATTTGATATTTGACAACTAATTATTATGACAAAATTGAAAAAGCTTGACTTAAAAGTGAGTCCGGGTAGTTGAGTGCAACAAAAAACACTTTAAAAATGATTTATATATAAGTTAAAATTCAAATATGGTTTTCATAATATGACTCTATTTTAAAGATGGTTTCTGTGGAAAAACCCCTGTTTTTATCAGAGAAAACCATCAGCAGCTTTGAGATCAACGTAAGACTGTCCCATACTGTCATAAAATCATTTGTGTTTTATAGGTACATAAACGCAGAAGGCTACGAAGGAGGATTCGACCAGCCAACGATCGACACAATGCTCTTTAGCGCAGAATCCAACTTCAACAAATGGGCCGAAGACTTCATCCCTCTCATCCTCGGTTCCAACGAGCCCACCTCCAGCAAAACATACTCCGAAGATTTCAAGCGGATGAGGCCTAGCATCGCATTATCCGTGGCCCAAACCGTATTCCTCAGCGACCACAGGGACGTGCTCGAGCACGTGCACGTCCCGTGCACCGTGGTCCAGGCGACCCACGACGCGGTGGTGCCGATATCGGTCGGGTATTACATTCAGAGTAAATTAAGAGGGAAGGTGAGTTTGGAGATTGTGCAAATGGATGGACATTGTCCTCAGTTTACCGTGCCTGAGAAACTCATTGATGTGCTTGAGAGAAGCCTGAATTAGGGGGTGATTTTGTTGATAATGGGCTTGGGTTCGGATTGGATTGCGTCAGTTGTGAGATTTTACGGGGTGGTAGATTCTAGTTGTAGGGAGATACTGCTGTGTTGTTCTTTTTTTTTTTCTTTCTTTTCCCACCTCTCTCTTTCCGGATCGCTCCCCTTTTTTGCAAGCCAATGTTGTGTTTTACAGGAGTTTATGTTTATTGTTGTAATCTGAACTAGTTTCAACCCGTGTGATGCATGGATTTATTAAGCACGGAGCTAGTAAGTTTCCTAAAATTGATAAACGTTATAAAAAATCACAGTTGTTGGTAACTTTCAAGAAAAAATTTAGCAAAATATATAGAATTGGCCATCTATTATACCAAAGCAAAATACATATTATTATTATATATTGTGTAATTGATAAATAATGTTATGATTCCGCTTCATGCAAGGCTTCGATTGTTACTCGTAAATTGTAAAGTAAAACTATGAGGTCTGAGTAGGTCTGTCCATCCGGATCGGTCCGGGCCGGAAAAACCCAAAGCTCGGACCCGGGCCCGATTTTTTTATTTTTTAAAATCTCTTTAAATTTTAAAATATACATAAAAATTACAGAAAATGCTAATAAAAACAATAATATTATTAATAACTTAAAATGACATAAATTACAAATACAAAAAATTATAAAAATAAAAAAATAATAAAAATAACTTCTTTTTTAATAATCAGTAAATCTTTTACGAGTATAAATTTATTTCAAAATTTGTTGTATCATAATAGATGAGTACATCCCAACTAGGTTGGCACCTACTCACCTATATCACTATTATTTGCAACTGTTTCCAAAATAATTCATTACAAATTTAAAGCTAAGAAATAAAAATTACAATTTGATGAGTATTGTTTAATCTTTATATCTATCTGCTAATCCCAACTCTTCAAATTTATCTTCCATTCCATCCATCCGATCGATACCTTGCGTTCGCTTCTCGTACCTCTACCAATCTTGTAAGCACATCACCGCTTGTATAGTATACGAATCTAAGCATGTCATGTGGTCGTCGATCAAACGTCCTGTTGTGCTGAAGGCGGATTTCGAAGCTACCATCGAAACCTTCACTGTTAGTAAGTCACGAACCATGGTGGAACGTATAGGATATGAAACTGATCCATATACTCTCCACCATTGCAAAATATCTAAAACATTTCCTTAACATTTAAGTAAAGAAGCAAATAAATATTCATCTATTTCAGAAACCTCTAATGATGATCCAAGTCCAGATCTACCAGTTAGCTCAGCTACCATTGTATACCTATTAAAACTTACACTTTACCTCGGCCTGAGCTCAAAGGCGCCGAAGCTGTAGACTGTTGTGCAGCTACACCATGCCTAGCTGCATACTCATCATATAAGGTTTGAAAATAATTTCTAATAACTAAATGATGAGAAGTAGCAGTAAGGATGGATCCATCATCTAAGTCTATAATCTGTCCATCATACAATGATTGTAACAAACTTCGAAGGCCAATATCCTTCAAACATGGATCAATAAGAACCCTAAACCAAAAATATGAGAAATAAGCCTAAAATAATTATTAAATTTGCTCTCCATTTGAAAAATTATAGCTCCAAAAATATCATTCATACGATATTTGTTAAAAAAAATTTAAATATTTAAAATTTGTAAAGTAGCTAAAATAATAGTTGGATAATAACAACCAGATAATAACATTGTAGCATCATAAAAAATATGTAACATCTCATTTAAATTATATATAATTGTCCATTCATTTTTTAGTTATTCCATAAGTGTTACCAGAGCTAGAACTAGAAGCATAATAATTTATAAAATTATTTATAATTTTTTTATATTCTATTGCCACGCTTAACATTGCATATGTGGAATTCCACCTATGGTCAACATCTTTTGGAATTAGTCTCGGCTTATAATTTTTTCTTTTGTAAAATAGTTTCCATCTTTTAATTCTTTGTTCAGAAGCATTATGCATATTAGCAATTGTTCTAACATTTTCTATCATTGGTTTAATTTTAATAAATACACTTTGAACAATTAAATTTAAAATATAACAGATATATCTAATATGAAAAAGATCGATCACCATGACATGGTAATGATAGAGTTGTTTTGATAAAATTAACAACTACATCGTTATTACTTGCATTATCTAGTGAAAGAGAAAATATTCTTTGATTAATTTCTAGTTTCATAAGTTCTTCAATTATTAAATTTGTAATATTAATACCAGTTTGTGACTCTTCAATTGTAATAAAGGAAATAACTCTTTTAAACATTTGCCAATTTTCTTCAATCCAGTGTGTTGTCATACAAAAATAACCAGTTTGTGCTCTAGATGTCCAAATATCAGAAGTTAAAGAAAATTTACAGTTTAAATTTTTAAAATAAGAAATTATTTTTCCTTGTTCCTCCTGATAATGTTTTAAAATATCAACAGTTTAAATTTTTAAAATAAGAAATTATTTTTCCTTGTTCCTCCTGATAATGTTTTAAAATATCACGTAGACAGGTTTGACGAGAAAATTTTATAAATACGGAATAAAAACCATCTCTAAACATATCTTCAAATTCATCATCTTCTACTAATTTAAAAGAAAAGTTTTTAAGAATGATAAACCTGATTACGTATTTTCTGACTCGGGCAGCGTCATAATTCTAACAACCGAGACTACCAGAAGAGGAGGATTGAGAAATCATAGATTGTCGGATATCACCTTGAGGATTCTGGCCTTTGTTGTGTTTTTCTATATGACGTTTGAGGTGGTTGGTGCCGCTCTTATGATGAGCTAGGAAAGTCTGACCGCACAATGCACATTTAGCCTTCTGGGTGAGGATCCTACCGTGTTCATCCTTGGTGACGTCTATCTTCTTAAAAAAATTCCACACATCGGATCTCGGCCTTTTAGGAGCTCTTGGTGCAGATTCATCGCCACCGGATTCGGGATTAACACTGGTAGGATCGGTAGGAGTAGTTGTTGTAGGAGGACTCATTTCAAGATCGGTAGGAGATAGGTTTTGCTCTTCATAATCAGATTCGGAAGCCATTTGATAGATGGATTAGAAAGTATAATAGATTATTAGAGAGTATAAGATTGTATAAGAGAGTATTAGAGAAAAGTAGATGATTTTTGGTGTGAGGAGAAAGAGTGAACCCCCCCTCCCTATTTATAGAGGCAGCCTCCTAGTCAAATGACCAAAAAACCTCTAGTGACCATTGGGGCCGGGTCGGCCCGACCTGGCCCGGTCCGGACTTTGCCCTCAATGGTCA